CTCTCTCTCTCTCTCTCTCTCTCTCTCTCTCTCTCTCTCTCTCTCTCCCTCAGCAGAAGGTGCCTGAGGATGGCCTCCAGGGAAAAGAAAGAGGGAAAAGAAAGAGGAAGAACATATCAGAGAGCAGTCCTGGGGTAAGAGAAGGTGACACAGAGAGGCTATATTTAGCAAGTTTCTCCTTCCTTCCTCAGAGACGTGAGTACACGGCAGAGACAGAGGTGATGGAGCTTTCAAAATTACCTCACATCTCCAAGTCCTTGGGCAACGTTTAGCCGCATCTCAGAGCGTGAGAAGAAAGTTAACCGACTCTAAGGCTACCCAGGGAGCACACCAGGGAGCACAGCAGTCCCCATTTCAGCTCTACCGAAGCCCACGGGAGACAACCCACCAGACCCGCACCTCAAACGGCCAGGGCTAGCTGTCACTCCAGTATCCAGCACCCTCAGCGCCAGACACCCGTGTGGCCCAGACCTCCCCAAAGCTGACCGACCACGGGAAGTTAATCTGCAACACTCATCTCATCTACCTTCCCAGAAGCCCACCCCTGAGCCTTTCTCATCTTCTCTCCTGCCTCCATTCACATCACATGACTCACAGGCTCTGTTTCCCAAGTGAGCTACTCACAAGGCGGGAGCCTGTCCACTGTGCTGAAGTTCATATTCGTGGATTGTATCAGAGCAGAACCAGGTGGCACCGTTTCCCCTGGGCTTCCTCTGTTGCACACATGCTCTCCATCAGGGGAGACTATTGGGACCCAGGGTGAATATGATGTCTCGTCCTCTCACTTTCATGGTGTCTGTGGGGGACATCTCCATCATGCTGTCCTTGGGACCCATGTGTGACTTCATTAAAATTTATACCCAGAGGAGTTTGTAGGATTTCAGAATCTCAGCTGCTGGTGCTTCCAGCTTTGTTTCCTAAACACCACTAGACAACCGGAGATCGTACCGTGCATCTACAGGAAGTACGTAGAACCATCTATGGATTGGTCATCCAAGAAACAAATGCAGGGATGTTGGGAGCATGAAGGTTTTATGTCCAAAAATCACTAAGGAAACTGGAAATGTACTGGAGAGATGGCTCAGTGGTTAAGAGCACTGACTGCTCTTCCAGAGGTCCTGAGTTCAATTCCCAGCAACCACATGGTGGCTCACAATCATCTGTAATGGGATCTGATGCCCTCTTCTGGTGTGTCTGAAGATAGCTACAGTGTACTCATGTACATTAAATAAATAAATAAATAAATCTTAAAAAAAAAAAAGAAACTGGAAATGTTAAGCACACAGGATTGTCTTTCCAAAGGAAAGGATGTCTGACCTATTATTCCACACAGAGAGAATGAAAGGTGATTAACAGCTTGGTGGTCTGTCAGACCAGGTCATATCAAGCTTCCACAGCCAAGACTGGAGATAGCTAATAGTCTAAATGATTCTTACATTATCAGGATAGCCAGGAGCTCCCCCAAGCTCCCACAACCAGGACTGAGGGTGGCTAAAAGCCCAAATGATATCTGTATGACCAAGGGCATGCCAGGTCCTTCCCTAGGCCCTTAAACTGAGTATGTGTAACCTGTCTCTAGGACTCATCTTCTTGGAAGAGATGACACGTACTTTGAATTGCGTTTTGAAGTAATTATGCCTCCTCGTACATCGGGGGTTGCATTATACCAGGAGACATTTTTCCAAATCATGCTATGTTTAAATACGCTGACAGTGGCATCGAACTCCTGGAGTTTGGACCAGCCCAGCTAAGTTGATTTTGATTTTTTGATTCTCACCCTCTGGCATGATCGTTTTGCCTTCAACCATCTCACCGGTAGGGACCCCTATGGTAGGAGGAACCTACTGGTGTTGTTTTGCTACATGGTTACATTGTCAAGCTGCCTTCAAAGTATTTATGTTAATATGTATATAGATTTGTGCTGTTCTTAACTTTGGTCAGAGAAACTTCTTTTTGCTACGGAAAGTTGTTAGTGTGGAGATTTATAACTGGTCAAAAGGTTGAGAATAAGAAAATAAGGGGCTTGCCGGGCAGTGGTGGCTCACACCTTTAATCCCAGCACTTGGGAGGCAGAGGTAGGCGGATTTCTGAGTTCAAGGCCAGCCTGGTCTACAGAGTGAGTTCCAGGATAGCCAGGGCTGCACAGAGAGACCCTGTCTCGAAAAACCAAAAAAAAAAAAAAAAAAAAAAGAAAGAAAGAAAGAAAAGAAGGGGCTGCTGAGCCCTGGACGGGACATCTGTATTAATCCCTTGTCCCAAGGCTCAGGGGACATTTGTAAAAGTAACTTTTATTCTTCTGCTGTAACTGTCATCTTGGAGGCTCACTCCCTCCATCTGCCAACCTAGGCCTCGTCCTGGAAGCTTCTAGCCTCTGTACAATCTAGTCTAGGCCGAGAATGTGTCCAGCCTCTGTGACTGACTGCTGAATAAGCTCATTCTTTCTACTTCTTTCTGAGTTCCAGTTGGCTGGTTCAACTCAGTTGTTCTGGTTCAAAACTCTTCTATAAGATGACTGGTTCTGTCTGATGTCTCTGTTTCTCCTGAATTGTTCTGTTTAACCACAAACTAACACTAGTAATCTGTTCTAATCTCCTGGCTCCTTCCTTGTAGTGCCAAGGAAGTGTTAGTGAATCCCCAAAAGACCAGACAGTAGCCAATCCAATACAAATCACACCAGGGCCTTTATTGGAGCTAGCTAAGGCTCAGCCCACTGCTGACATGCAGGGCGGTTTTGATGGAGAGGAGCCCTGAACATCTATCAGGGTAAGGTTTCATAGAAAGCAGCAAGATGGCGTGTGTGTGTGTGTGTGTGTGTGTGTGTGTATGCTTCTAGCCTGGGAAGCATCTCACTGGAGAGTTCTATGGCCTTTAGCATAATTGGCTGGTGCTGGGAGTCACACCATAAACTTGACTTCTGTCTTCCTCTGCATTGGCGGTTGTTAGGCAGGGGGCAGGCTTGTTGGAGATTGACCTGGAATCGCTGGATTTGTTGGAGGATATTAACCTGGAGACACAGGTCTTGTTGGGGTTAGCCTAGAAATTGGAGCTAGGCTCAGGTTTTACTGGGGAGGGGTGTAACTTGGAAACTAATGCTAGGTACCAGCCTGTTGGTTTACCTGAGTTTAAGTTCTCTAAAGTCTGAACCTAAAGGATTTGATCTCTGACTGGTTTGTTCTATCTTCACTATATCTAACTTGTTCTCTCTTCAACCTGTGTAAAAATCTCCCGATAGAACTGCCTCTTCCTTCTTCCTCTCTGCACTGCTTTTTTCAAGTACCTTCCCTTTCCTCTCTGTTCTCAGGAGAACTGGGCATATCCTATCTCTCAAATCTTTCTCTGATTCATCACTTTGTCTGCCACTCAATCAGCCACCACATTCAAACATGAGGGCTTCCTTCTACAGAATAACGTTACCTTCATTGTTTGGGATTAACGGTGTGTACTAAGGGTGAGTCACATCACAACTAGAAAGTTTTTTGTTTTTAATTTTCTTTTTACTAACTAACGATCTCAGGGTTTACAATGTGATCAAATATCCTGCAGCAAAGATCACAGGAAAAGCCCAGAGAATGAGGGTGAGTTCTGTGAAATCCTGTCATCTGGACATGACATAGCAATTACACACATAAACCTATGAAAGCTACTGCTACCGTCACAAGACCAAACTAGTCTACATTCTAGCATGGATGGATAGGGGAGGGACTAATGAGGAATCGAGAAGCTGTTGTCAGTTGATGGCTGCTGGGGGAGAGAGAATCATTTTTCCTTAGGGTTCGACTATGGGTAGGCTGTCCATGCTCCAGCAGATGGTTCCCACAGCTATACTCACAGGCAGATACTAATTGGACTCCATGGGTCACAGTAAAAATAAAGAGAAGAAGACAAGAAATTGGCAGGGAGAGGTGTGAGGAGGCCTTAAGAGTGTTGGAAAGAAGGCATGAATATGATTAAAATACATTATGTATGTGTGGAATTATTGAAGGACAAGTTAGAAGTTTTAGTAAAAGGAAACTGGAACATGGGGTCAAATACAACTCGGTGGTGTACAAGGCACTGGATGTATGACTCTCCTTTTCTGTGCAGCCTTGGAAAAGTTCATGTACAAATAGAACACGAGTCAAAGCACAAGTGAACTGACATCAGCAGCAATCGGTTTTGAATTGTATATAGTTGGACACAAACCTCTTTGATTATTTAAAACAGTTGCTGCAAATTTTAGGGAGTCCCACCTGGGCTACCACATATTACCTGGGGAATCAGGGTCCTCTACTGGGGTTTGTAGTTTCACTAATAAGATACTTTAAGGAAGCTGAAGAGATGGTTCAGTGGTTAAAAAGTCTTGCTGTTCTTCCAGAGGATCTGAGTTCAATTCCAGACACCCCTGTTGGGTGAATCACAAGTAACTCCAGCATCAGGGAATCTGACACTCTATTACAGATACTGCAGGTACTACAGCATACCATGTGCACACACACACAGACACACACAGACACACACACACACATGGACATACATACATGCAGGCACATGCCCATAGACACATGCACTCACACAGAGTACTGGTTAGTTTTTATCAATTTGACACAAACTAGAGTCATTTGGGAAGAGGAAAACTCAGTTGAGGAACTGAGGAACCGCCTCCATCAGATTGGCTTATGGGCAAACCTGCCTACAAAGAAAGTTATACCAAGGAGACTCTAAAAACCCTCCTCCAAATCACCCCCAATCCTAAGGGCCACTGTTAGATTTGATACTCCCTGCCTTGATTGGCCTTCAAAGAAGCCATTTGGGTTCCACAGTGGCCTCTATCAAGGGAGAAGCTTAAAGCCCATAATTAGAGTCTCCTCAATATTTACCGAAGCAGGAATGATAGAAGCTGTGCCAATAATATACTATTGAGGACAAACCCCCTATTCTCTGACTCAGAGAGCTGCCCAATCATTCCCCTCAATATAAGGAATTATACGCTATCAAGCTAGCCCTAAGAGAAGTCAAGAGTCCCCTTAACCTCTTTTCAGACAGTGTATGTGGTGTCAGTTTGCTCCCCTGACTGTCAAGATCATTTTTCAAACTAGATGCCAAACCACTTTCCCCTCTACTAATACAGGTCTTCGCCCTCCTACAGGAAAGAGCCTCTCCCCTCTACATCCAGCATGTCAGATCCCACAGTCCTCTGCTAGGCCCGATATCGAAGGGAAATGCACTTGTTGACCAAACCACCTCAGCAGGAACATTCATAGCCCCCACTGAGCAAGCAGACCAATTCTGTTTGCTCACACACTCAAATATAAAGGGGCTTCATACCTGCTTCCCCCACATCCCCTTGCTCAGTTTCAAAGGATAATAACAACATGCTCCTCTTGTGCATCCCTCATTACCACCCCAGCTTTACAAACGATGGGCACCAATCCCCGAGGCCTCAAATCAATGCCTTATGGCAAATTGATGTCACCCACATTCCCCAATTCAAGAGACAAAAATGTGATTTTGTTACCATAGATACATACTCACATCATATACGGGCTATAGCCCAAATGAGTGAAAACTCAAAAAGTTTAATTCACTGTATGCTCTCCACCTTTGCCATCATGGGCATTCCTCAACAGATAAAAACTGGTAATGGCCCTGCCTTCACTAACTTTCAATTTAAAACCTTCTGCACGCACTGGGAAATTGCCCACCATACAAGGATTCCCCACAAACCTCAGGGCCAAGGAATAAAAGAAAGAACACATCAAGCCCTAAAAGCCCAACTTCTAAAACAAAAGACAGCTACCTACCTCTCTAATGTACAATTAATGATAGCTCTGACTACATTAAACATATTTAACATCTACAAAAACTCCAAACATTCCCTATCTCTCTCCATTGACACACACCAAAATTAATTCCCCCATTCTAGTATGATGGTGTGATCCTTTTGGATGGAATCTGAAAGGGACCAGACATCTGGAAGGGGTTTCATTCATCTTTTCCCACAGGACCAGCCTAAGCCTATCTGAGTTCCCGACAGAAATGACACCACCTCACCAACCTGGCCTGCCTTCCACTGGCAGATCAAGGACAGAGGAGGAGGAGGAGGAGGAGGAGGAGGAGGAGGAGGAGGAGGAGGAGGAGGAGGCATCATCAATCCACGGGATGAACATTGGCAAACAGGAATCATG